TCCAGGATGGACCTGGTTTTTTTATTAGCAGTCTATGGTATATTCAATACTCTTCTCCAGCACCACAGCTCAAAGGCATCAATTCTCCTTCCATCCTCCGTAGTCATTGTCCAGCTCTCTGATGCATAGCAAGTAATGGCAAAGACCATGGCCTGTATCAGGTGCACGAGTGACACCATTGCTCTTCAGTTCTCTGGAGAGGTCCCTAACAGCAGACTTTCCCATTGAAATACATCTTTTCATTTCATAGCTGCTGGTGCCAAGAGTGTTGACGGTGGAGCCAAGCAAACTAAAGCTGTGTACAATCTCAATCTCTTCACCATCCATCCTGATGCTCCCAATTGGTCTAGTGGTGAGAATCTTTGCCTTCTTGACATTGAGCCTCAATCCATATTGGAGGCTGTAGTCCTTGACCCTCTGCAGCAAGCAATTCAGGTCCTCCTCAGTTTCAGCAAGCAGGGTTGTATTATCTGCATAACTCAGATTGTTGATAGATCTTCCACCAATCCTGATACCACACTTCTCCTCATAGAGCCCAGTCTCCTGGATAATCTTTTCTGCATGTAGGTTGAAAAGTTATGGAGATAGGACACATCCCTGGCATACACTCTTCCCAATTTTGAACCATGCAGTGTTCCCTTGCTCTGTTCTGATGACTGCCTCCTGACCCAAGTATAGGTTTTGCATTAGCACGATCGAGTGTTCTGGGATTCCCATTCTTCTCAGAGTCAACCACAGTTTGTTATGATCCACACAGCCAAAAGCCTTTGCATAATCAATGAAAGACAGATAAACATTCTTCTGGTACTCCCTGCTTTCAGCCAAGATCCATGTAACATTAGCTACAATATACCTAGCACCATGACCCTAGCTAAACCCAGCTTAGACTTCTGGCAGCTCTCTGTTGATGTAGCTGTTCCAGTAGTTTTTGGATAATCTTCAGCAGAATCTTGCTTGCATGTGATAACAATGATATTGTTTGATAATTTACACACTATGTTAGGTCACCTTTCTTTGGAATGGGAACAAATATAGATCTCTTCCAGTCACTTGGCCAAGTGGTTGCCCTCCATATTTCTTGGCACAATTTGGTGAGCACATCTAGGGTAGCATCTGTTAGTTGAAATATATCAATTGGTATACCATCTATTCCTAGGGCCTTATTTTTTGCCAATTCCTTCAAAGCACCTTGAACTTCTTCCTTCATCACCATAGGCTCTTGCTTATATGTTGTTTCATGAAATTCTTCTGTGTCTGCCAATTCCTATTGGTACAGTGACTCTGTATACTCTTTCCACCTTCTTTTAATGCTTCCTGGATCATTTAATATTCTGCCCAAAGCATCCTTAAGTATAGCAACTCAAGGTTTGAATTTGTTCTTAAGTTTCTTGAGCTTAAGAAACACTGAGCGAGTTCGGCCCTTTTGATTTTCTGACTTCAGCTCCTTGCACATTTCATTGTAATATTTTACTTTGTCTTCCCATGTTGCCTTTTGAAATCTTCTGTTCAGCTCCTTAATATCTTTAATTCTTCCCTCTGCTTTGGTTTCGTGGTGCTCTAGTACAATATTCAGTCTCTTCTAACATCTATTTTGGTCTTGTCTTCCTCGTTTGTCTTTGCAATGACCATTTGCACTCTTCCTGGATGATACCCTTGATATCCTCCCACAACTCATCTGGTCTTCACTCATTAGTGTTCAAGGCCTCAAACCTGTTCCTGAGATGGTTCTGAAATTCAGGTGGCATAGACTCAAGGTCATATTTTGGTTCCAGTGGATTTAATTTTCTTCTGTTCCACAATCAACTCCTCGCCTAGTTTTCACAGCCGATACTGAGCTGCTCCAGTGGTTTTTTTCCACAGATGTAATCAATCTGATTCCTATGCATACAATCAGGTGAAATTCATGCGCATAACCTGTGTTTATGTCTCTTATAAAATGTATTTGGAATGAATAAGTCATTGTGCAAAATTCAATAATTCTATCTTCAGCTTCATTTCTGTCACCGAGTCCATTGTTCAATAATATGCACATTCTGTTAGATTATCTTTTTTTAAAATTTGAGGATAAATAGTAATGTTATATTTATTAGAGAGTTATATCCCCAAAAGGATGGACATTATTCCTTGAAAAGAGATAAGGAGGAAAGGCCTGAATTGCTTTTTTAGGGAATGGGAATAAATATACATCTCTTCCATTCATTTGTCCAGGTAGCTGTCCTCCAGATTTCTTGGCACAACCAGGTAAGCCCATCCAGAGCTGCATATGTTATTTAAAACACCAACTAATATTCCATCGATTCCTGGGGCCTCATTTTTTAATAGTGTCTTCAGAGCAGCTTGAACTTTTTCCTTATTACCATTAGCTCTTGATCAGATACCATCATATTACTTCTGCTCTAGAGAAGGAATTGGTTTGATAAGGGTGACATTTTTATTGTTGTGTACTGTCAGTTCCTACTCATGGGAATTGTACTGGACAGAATAAAACTGTCCCATAGAGATTATTTATGGGAGCAAATTACCAGGTCTTTTTACTGATCTTTCAGTTAACAGCCTAGTGCTTAAACATTATACTACCAGGGATCCTTCATAAGGGTATCAAGTGCTTAAAAGTAGGCCACAGGGTAGGTGTCCTAGATAGGAAACCAGCAGGAAGTGATAGTGACATCCATGCTGAAAGCATAGCTTGGATATAAGGCACAGGATCTCAGAGTAGTAGTATAGAGGGAGTTAGATACTAAGAATCAAGTGGCTTAGGGAGAGATTCCAGAGAGGATTCTGCTCCCTACAAAAATAACTAGGAGGTGGGGAAAGAGGAAGGATTATTACTTATCAAAAGCAAGGAAGCATAATATTGTTCACTGATAATCAAAATAGGTGTATCTATCTAAAATACTAACAAAAGTTAATCTAAGATGGCAGTCAGTCACTTCATACAACAAAGACACAAAACAGCAAGTGATGCAGGTGCAGGTGACAACTTGGAATCCTGAGACTCAAAGGGAAGGCTGAATAATCAAAGGAACTACTAGGTGGAAGCAGAGATTGGACAGAAACTGCAGACATGGAGAACTAGTGATTGCTGGTGCACTGCCAGTGAAACCTGAACAGCACACCCTGACTGGACATGGATGTCTCTAAGGCAGAAAGCAGTGAAGCCCCCAGAACCTCATGCAGTGGAGGAGTAACTGTGCACTATGTCAAGTGCCTGGCAGAAGTGCTTCTCACCCTGCAAAAATTAAATGTACTCACTTTGCCCACTATGCCCCTTCCATTGCCCTGGGCTAGAAGATGCTTGTGGATCCACCCAACACTCCTAATGACCACAGTACAGCAGTGCCTACCCCTACACCATTTCTCCTTCCTCGTCATTTCCAACCCTGCAACTGGAAACTTGAGTCTGCCCACCTGGGATCATCAGTGAGAGTTTCCATAAAACCCACTCAGTGACCAATGACCTCAGCACCCTCACCTGATAACCTGGTAACTGGTAGTGCACATTCAAAACACTTAACCCAATGATTAGCAAGAATAGTCCCTGCACCCACGCCCAGGTGATCAGTCAGATAAACACATTACCTCACCAGCAATGCCAGCTGCTGCTTCAACTGCTCTGCAAGTCCAGTGAGTCTCATGCTAGTCCACCCAGCCACTGCTCCACCCTGCCAGATACCTGCTGTAAGAACTCTAGTGTCCAGCCTAGTAATCAGAGTAACATACAACTCCACTACCACCTCACACATACAAGAATAAAACTAAAAATCAAGATGCAGCAAACAAACATGCTGCTGTTAAGTGCCATCGAGTCCTAGATGACTCATAGCGAGACTCATAGCGACCCTATGAACGAAAGACCTGAACACTTGTATAACTTCCATCGTTTCTCCAAGTTCATAGAGTTTCTAGAGGCAAGCTATTTTGGAAGTGGATGTCACTCCTGCTTCCAAGCTTGTTTTAAATGGGGAGCTCCACCAAACACTGTCCACCATGGGCAACCATTATCTCATTTGATGCATCAGTGTCACAGTATTTAACATCAGAGCAACCACGAGTTATCTCTGTAGAGCAAATGGACAGATCAGTGCAATACCACTTAGAAGAATGTTTAACCAAAACCAATTAAAACCAGGCCTGCGGGCCTCAGATTAAAATCACCCACCTGGCCTCTGGTCCCGCCTCTGGGGCGGGGTCCTGACTGCGCTCAAGATACGTCAGCGGATCTCTTCAAAGGCGCGGCTGCTGTTAGTTTTTCCCTTGGATGCCTGCACCTCTGCCAGACTCGTGTTGCCGAGGACGATGCGTGGGGTGAGAAGCAGTCTGGGTTGATCCTCAGCTGAGCCTTGGCCTCGCGCTCTTCTGCTCTCTTGGGCCCCCCACTCAGCTGAAGAAATGAGTGGTGGACTGGCTCCAAGTAAAAGTACAGTGTATGTATCCAACCTGCCGTTTTCCCTGACAAACAATGACTTATACCGGATATTTTCCAAGTATGGCAAAGTTGTAAAGGTTACTATAATGAAGGATAAAGATACCAGGAAGAGTAAAGGGGTTGCTTTTATTTTGTTTTTGGATAAAGAATCTGCACAAAACTGTACCAGGGCAATAAACAACAAACAGTTATTTGGTAGAATGATAAAAGCAAGCATTGCTATTGACAACGGAAGAGCAACTGAGTTCATCCGAAGGCGACACTACTTTGATAAATCAAAGTGCTACGAATGTGGGGAAAGTGGTCATTTAAGTTATGCCTGCCCTAAAAATATGCTTGGAGAACGTGAACCTCCAAAGAAGAAGGAGAAAAAGAAAAAGAAGAAAATCCCTGAACCAGAAGAACAAATTGAAGACTTAGAAGAAAGTGAAGATGAAGGGGAAGATCCTGCCCTTGACAGTCTCAGTCAAGCCATAGCTTTCCAGCAAGCCAAAGTTGAAGAAGAAGGAAAAAAATGGAAACCAAGTTCCATGAACCCCTCAACATCAGAAGATTCAAGACGCCCACGGATAAAGAAAAGCACGTATTTTAGTGATGAGGAGGAACTCAGTGATTAAAATATTTTTATGTAAATATCATTACAATAAAAAAATGTAAAGAGAACTAAGTTCAGTTGGGGACTAAAGATTACTTTCTGAACTCTGAGCATAAGAACTCCTGTTACCAATTGGATTTTTTTTTTTTGCTATAAAATAGTTTATAGGAAATAATGTTAAAGTTTATCATGTTTCTATCTGACCTCAACAGAATAACAGAAATCAAGATCTGTTGTACATGTTCAGCGATTTTTAAAAAGAATATGAAAACTTTACTGTTGTTTTAGTAATGTTATTGGCACCCCCCCAAAAAAATTATTACAAAGATTTTTTTAGGAAGTTCAATATAAAAGCTGAATTCGCATCACATTAGTTCATATGAGTTCTTCTGAAATAAGTTTAATCTTTAAAACAAAAACTTCCTATAATCCGGGGCAGGGGAAATGCTAAGTTATTATTAAAATTGCAGTGTGTTACTAAAAACTGTTATTGTAAATAAAATTTCTAAGATAATTTTGTGTTTTTTTTTTTTTTAAAAATCACCCACCTTTGGCTTGTTAGCGTAACTTTCTATCCAGTGCCTCACAGAAAACTGTTGTTGTTAGGTACAATCAAGTCTACGACTTCCAGTAAACAGACATGAACCTGCCTTATCTTGTGCCAGCCTCTTAATCTCTGTCCTGCTCAAGGCCATTGTCACTGTGTGAATCCATCTTGTTGAAAGTCTTTCAGGGGAGCGCTGGTGGCCTAGTGGCAAGGAGCTGTAACTACAATCCCAGAGGTGCACGGTTCGAATCCACCAGATGCTCTGCCGGGGAAGGAGGGACGGTACACGCACACAAAAATTAAAAAAAAAAAAGAAAGTCTTTCTGTTTCCGCTGACCCTTTATCTTTCCCAGCATGTCGTTCTCAAGGACTGCTTCCTGAAAGCAGTCCTTTCTCCTGAAAATATGCCCAAAGGAAGTGAAATGAAACATCATCACCCTTGCTAGCAAGGAGCACTGATTTGTTTGATCGTTTGGCAAATCATGACGTATTCCACACTTTTCACCAACACCACAATTCAAAGACATCAATTCTTCTATCATCTTATTGACTGTCCAACTTTCAGATGCATAGGAAGCAATTGAAAATACTATGGCTTGGATCAAGTGCACTTTCATCTTTAAACTGACATCTTTGCTTTTTAGAATTTTGGAAAGGTCCTTGACAGCAATTTCTCCAATGCAATTTTTTTTATTTCTTGGCTACTAGTATCAAGGATATTGATTGAAAAATTAGTATTGTTCATTGACAACATCTTTAACATTACATGTGAGCAAACTATTGATGAAGATCATTAAAAAAAATGGCTAGAGCAGTACATTGACAGAGAACTGCCAGAAGTTCAAGCTTCACTTAGATGAGGCCATGACACTAGGAATATTATTGCTGACAGCAGATGGATCTTGGCTGAAAGCAGAAAATACCAGAAGAATGTCTATTTGTGTTTCCTTGACTATGCAAAGGCTTTTTGACTGTGTGGATCATAACAAACACTGGTTAACATTAAAAAGAAAAAAAATCCCAGAATATATGATCGTGCTCTTGTAAAAGCTATGCTTATTCTGGACTCCTGTCATAACAATAATCCCTAACCATATGTCCCTTTTAAACAGTTCTCTCTCTTATCTGTTTCACTGCAATATACATTATTTATCCTCTCTTTCTCAGTCTCCCCCACCCTAATCTCTATGTCGGACCTCTTTTATAACAGTGGCACTATGCAGTATTTGTCTTTCTGTGACTGAGATATTTCACTCAGCATAGGGTTACCCATTTTGTATAATATTTCATGAGTTCCTTGTTTTTCAATGTAGCATAGTATTCCATTGCGTGAATATACCAGAGCTTCTCTACCCATTCGCTTGTTAATCGGCACTTAGGTTGTTTCCAACTTCTTTGCTATTGTGAAAAAAGCCAAAATAAACATTGTTGTTGTTGTTATGTGCCATTGAGTCGTTTGCGACTCATAGCGACCCTATGTACAACAGCCCTAAACCCTGCTCTATCTTGTGCCAATCTCATTGCCTCT